GACTGCAAGCATAAATAACCCGTTAATAAATAACGAAATGATCACGATTAAAATATTTATGATGGTTACCTCTTCAAGATCTTCAAGATTATTTATTGTATAATAATTTATTTTAAGTATTCGTTAATTCTTCATATTATAATTAAGTGTACTTAATAAAAATTTTAGGTAGAACTAATCGAATATTTGTTGAAACTATTCGATAGTTTATTCGAATAGTTTATTCTAAAAACACACTATTCGGTTGTATAAAAACAATTCGAATAGTTATTTGATAGTTTTTTAAAACTATCGAATACTATTTGACATTTTAAAATATTCGAAAATGCCCATCACTAGTAATTATTACTCTTTGTATAGCTAATTAGCTCGCCCTTTGGTATAATTATGATCTACATGGTGTAATGTAAACAAAGGTAAATTCCAAAAGCTTGAATTAATTATTTTCAAATCCAGTTCATTAGGTTTAAGCAAAAAGCAGTAGTGAAGTTACATTACGCTGGCGTTAAAGCTACTTGATTCTATCATAGATTAAATATATAGATTTAAATATAATTTAATCTATGATTCTATATATAAAGTGTTAAAGTAAATAAAGAAACGGGTTCCTATTGTTCTTATTGTTTGTAACAATTGACTTGTTTTCTTACTTACTAAACATCTCTCTCTCTATATATATATATAGTAACTTTATTACATGACATTTTCATGTAGTTTTTAAAATAGTATAATTTTTGAAATTATTTAACCTATAAAAAATTAATCAATTGAGGTTACATTAATTTAAGTTACACATTATTGTGATTTATTGTTCAAAATGTAATAAAGGAAAAGTTGTAAGCATTAAATTATACATTGTTTATCTAAATTTATTAAGCTAATTAAGTAAGTGAATTTGATCGATAAAAACTAAATACAGAAAATTATTATCTAAATGAAACAGCACTATACAAGGTAATTTGTGTAACCCTAGCCACTGAATTTCTTTCAAAATAGAATTGCTACATTAAAGGAATCAGCTTGTATACATATTTATTTATAATTATTACTATTTACACTATTAATTAGGTAATTAAAATATTAAATTACGCATAATAATCATAGGCGTTCATCGGGTGGGGTGCTTCCGGGGGCTTAGCTCCCGCTCTAAAAATACAGAACATTATACAAACATATTTTACATAAAAATATTTTTTAAGTAGGCTAAATTGTCATAAGCTCTCCTCAAATTATTTGACAAATAAATTTGACCATTCCATGACCTATATATAAATAAATATATTTTTGTTGTGAATTAAATATTTAGCTATGTATTTTACTCATATAAATATTGTATGACTATATATAGTCTCTTTATTATATTTTTTTACTCATATTTTGAACTAACGGTGAACACAAAAGTTCATATAAAAATGTTAATAGCATTTCATTTATTGATTATTTTTTTATGTCCTGTCGATAGTCAATGTTAAATTCAGAAATTATCTAGGGTTGTTTTAAACATTAGTGCAATTAAAAACAATTTTTGGACATATTATTTAATAACAATATACAAATTTCGAAAATAGCTATATTACTGCATCCCTGAGATGGTTAAGGGAATTATTAAAATTACACTATACCTAATCCAACAATATATATAATTTTATCATTGGAAACCTTTATTATTCATCGACGAGATTCAAATGTGTCAGTTTGATGTGTGCCATTTCTCCCATAAGGTCCATTGGTCATCAGACGTGAACTATTTATCAATGTCAATTGCTACTTATAAGAAAGTCGTTACTCATTGACCTGAATTCCATAAAGTAAGCAGGTACTATTTTTCAATCAGTTAATAAGTCATCTTGTATTTTTAATGCTATAGTTCATTGTTTAGAATTTATAACACAATTTTTGAAATACTCAATAGTATTTAATTATTTTCTTTGTAATACTTCCGTCTATGGACGCTCATCTGATAAAATCCAAGAGTAGACAAAACCTTTCTTTTTTGGTCATCTAACAACATATAACATCTGTTTTACTTACTTTATGAAAACAAATATATAAAAATAAGGAGTTCCTGTATTGTTCTAATATCATATAACATATATTTTAATTACAAATATTAAGATAATAAATAAATATACAGTAATTTAAAATTTAAACACAATTTTACTGTGTTAATAATTTAACTAAACTCAACTTTGCTGTACTGTATATCTTATACAATATATTTAACATTTAAAATTAAAACCTGTAAAACAAATTTTAATCAGAAAAAAAACATTTATTTTTAAATTGTTTATAACTTAAATAAAAAATTAATTATGTAATTTTTAATCTAATCAAGATTTTTGTTCAGTATTAATCATAATACAGTAATATTGTATGTAAAACTTAGATAATTATTATCATATTTTATTTTAGATAAAAAATAATGTATACACTCAATTTATTAAAAGATCAACTTTTGTGGATCGCATATTATCCAGAGGGTAATGTCCCTCTAACGGCCGTTCATACTTCCGTTCTTTAGTTATTACTTTTGCACTGCAAATTATTTTCATTCTTTCTTAGGAGATAAAAATAGTTTAATACATAATGATTTATCGATTTAGCAACTCAGATAGTTTTAATATTTAAATAGTATAACTTATGTAATCGTTACACATTTTATTCAAAAACTTAATCAACTCAATCAATCATGTGATTAATGTATTAGCTTAAGCCAGTGTTTGATCGAATTAATAAATTGATTAATTTATCCTAATGTAGTTCTTTTTCAGAAATTTATAATCGTAAATTGCTTAAATTGAGAGTACCTAAAATTAAAACTGAAATGTTAGAAATTTGGAAGTGTTTACCCCTCAATTTTTGACTTTGAGTTGTATTTTTCGATTGACCGACTCGAGACCTTACGGGACTTTAGAGGGATGTGGTCTCACGTTTCCAAACCTCCTGAGAAAAATAACACAAAATCAATTCCAACTTATTCTAAACCACTGAANACACAAAATCAATTCCAACTTATTCTAAACCACTGAACTAAAAGGTACAGAGACCCAACAAGTCCGAACCATAATAATATTTTTATTAAAATTCCTTCAGTAATTACTAGCATTACTTCGTTAATGTTTATTGTTTATAACTTAAATCTATGTATAAATACTTGTTAAAAGTTATCATAATAATGGTAGTCAGCCCAAGAAGATATGTTCAAAATTTAATGCGAAAATTTTAACTAGTAAGTATAATAGGAAAATTAATATTTACTAGACAGCTAGTCAACCCATACTTCAAATTAATAGTGTAAGAGAATACAATTAAAACATAATAATAATTAAAATTACATTATTAATATTTTATTTTATTTATTTATAGAAATTTTGATTTTAAAACTACAATTTAGTTTAAAATAATTTTATATTACAAAATACTTAATAACATTTTATATAAAATAAAATTAGAATTAAAAAAATATATTATTATTAATAATATAAGGGACTTTTGTATATAGTATATATAGTTAGTTTCCAGGAGATGAATAATATAATCATTAAATTTTGTTACAAGTGGTTTGGATATTTTCAGATATATGCTGTAATTTAACTTTCAAAGTTATTCAAATTTAATAAACAAATATTTTCTTCAGAATTTGACTTATTAAGTGTTGCCTTTTAATGAGTTCAAATAAATCCTAGTTACTTTGTGGATTTAAATTATATAAATAATGATAATTTACAGCAATAAGACTTAAATAAATAAATTTACCAAAAAAACAATTTTATAAACCCTTTTTTATGTGATTTATTATCTAAAATAATTGTTTTTTTTTATCAATAGTGAGCGTTTACCCTCATTACCACTGTTTACACCACTGAATAATTTTATCTAACATAATCTAAATTCAATAAAAAACAGATTAATGTTTACTTTAAAGCTAAAATAACTTTGCCAAAATTTTTTCTTTCAGCTAAAAGTTTCTGAGCTTCAATTACCTAGAACATAAAATATGAGTTAACTTTTAATTTCACTCTATATTGTGAAGTTCATTAAGAAATCAAAAGTCAAATATTTAACTATTTAAATAATATTAATAGCTTCAAAAGTAAAATTTACTAGTTAATGTAATACAATTTTTCTTTAATTTTTACTAACGTTTTCAAAATTAACAGTTTCAAAAATAATGGGTTTTATATAACCCATTTTCAACATTTTGAATAATTTTGTCATTATACTATTTATTTTTTGAGGATCTGAATCAAATATTAATCCCAAATGAACTCCTGATATACTTATGTTTAATTCAATTACACTACGAGGGTGAATATTTTTTGTCTGCCAATTAGTATAAAGTGTTTTAAATATATTTAATGTATCTCCTTGGATAAAAGTACTTCCGCCTAAAAATTTTGAAATTCACAATAAAACACATTAAAATTAAGGTAAATTTGTTATTAAATTACCTATAAGAACTAAACGACCACAAGTTTTCAACAAATTTTTACTAATTTCTATGTTTGCACCACCTATACTGTCAATTATAACGTCAAAACCATTTTTAGTAATTTCTTTTGCTTGGTTAACATAGTTCTCATGAGACAATGTATAATGTACACCATTTTCTTTTAACTTGTTGTGTTTAAATTCTGATGCAGTTCCAACAATAGTTACATTATTTACTGTTTTCGCTAATTGAGTAGCTGCACATCCAACACCACCTAAATATAAATAAATATATATATATATACCTCCATATTTAAGAAACCTATTTCATAAATATGATAAATTTTATTTAGAAATATTACCAGCAGCTGAGTGAATGAGGATTGTGTCTCCAGATTGTAAATTACCCATAGTAAAAACACTTATATAAGCAGTCAAGTAATTAGCAGGTAATGACACAGCATCTTGACTACTAATATCAGATGGAATTAAATAGCAATTTATAGCAGGTACTATTACTTTTTCCCTAAAAAGACCACCTGTCCAAACATAACATAACACTCGGTCACCAAGCTAGAAAGAAATTTTAAAATAAGAATAATTACTGATTAGATTAGTATTTCATGATATATTTATCACATTTCAAAGTTATGGTATTTTATTACTATATACTTTCAAATTCAATTATTACTTGAAAATTCTTCACATTTTTGCCAATATTATCTATTGTACCAACACATTCACATCCAAGTATACGAGGTGTAGTTAATTCTCTTAGAAAGCCTTGTCTTACTAAAATGTCACAAAAATTAACTCCACAAAATTCTACTGATACACATATATCATCATGTCCCAAATTATTTAACGGCATATTTTTTATCTATATTAAAAATTCAAAAATGTTAAAAATATTTTTTATATATATATATTGATAAATAGGTTTAACTATTCTAATTTAAGTCTTTCATAACAGATATTTTTAAACTATTTTTTTTTGAATCAATGAAAAAATTAATACTAAGAAAAATAATAGGTTACTTGTGTCCTTTTTCAAAAAAAAAAAATGTAATTATAATAATTACAAAATAAGAATATATAAAAATTAAAAACTAAACTTACATTAATTTTGTCATAACTACCATACTCTTCCAGTACTATTGATTTTACTGATTTATTTTGTTCAAAATAATTCATACTTTCAATCACAAATTAATAATTTATCCACAAATGTTTAATAACTTTTTATAATCTTTAGTAAACTGAGATAAAAACAGTTAACATTTAACTCAAACTGTTGAATGACAATAAAATAAATGCCATTATTTATCGTTCTGTCTCATGTACTACTGCAAGTAATAATTTGAATTTAAAATTATTAGTACGAAACAACATGATCAGCGTAAAAAATTATAATTCGTATTGTATTTTAGTTACATAACGGCTTAAAAAATTCAGTGAGCGTAATGATTATTTCTGTTATAAACATCAAAAATAAATAACTTATACATCAATAAAATTGTTGTTCATAAAATAAATTAAATTGAAGGTTGAATAATATATAAGATGATTGATTGATAGATGTATGCTTCACAGAAAATCCATGATAAAATAATAAACTGTTATTTTTTGCAGGAGTTAATAGTATTCTAGGTTCGATATATAAAAAAAAAAATTATTCTCAATCCATTATAGTATCAGCTTAAGTTTTTAAAATGGAATTATATATTTTTAATTAGTTTAAAAATAAGAAAATGATTGGTCGATAATAATTTTTGAACTAGTATTTTGAAAGATATTAGTTTTTATCACAGACTATATGAAAAAAGATAGATCACTCGGCCGAACAATAGAAAAAAATCAAGCTCTTCGATTGGCAATAGTTTCGGTGTTGAAAGCTATTGTCCATTTTTACATTATTGTGCAAATATTTACAATATGGGGGCACGTTCGAATCGGAATAATTATTCAGTAGGATCGGTATTTTATGATAAAATATTTATCATTACTGGAATATTGGTTAGAATGATATTTAATGAGAATGTGAAATATCAGAAACCTTACTTTTTAGTATTGATATAATACAGTAATAACAAAAATACGGGAAAATATCACTCTTTTTACCAAAGAAATGTATTACCTAGGAAAATACTAAATTTACATGGACAATATTGATTGATCAGTAAACAAAAATCCAAATATTTTAATAAAAAGAACAGTACAGCCGATTCTCATCTTCTGAAATTCTGTTCCTGATAATTATAATTCCTACTACTACTATTATTTTATAACGTCCTTCTTTTTTCCAGTTCCTGATAAGTATTATTCCAATTCGTATTACCACGGATAACATTATACGACCTCTATCAGTTACAAAAATTAATAATAATAAAACAATTTGAAAACATTTTTGAATTTCAATTACTTGAACAATAATTAATTATAATTAATTATTGTTCAAGTAATTGAAATTATAAAATCGTATTAATCATAATTATGATTAATTATGAACAATCATTATTCATGTACTTATCTTTTTAACTTTGTTGCAAAGCTGAGAAGATATTAATTTTACTATGATGTGTTTTTCTTTTTTTTTTTGTCTGTTGAAAATCTGATACAACCTGCCCACAGAAGAGAATTCAAAATATCAATTTCTGAACAAAAATTTAACTTTTTCAACTGAAGTTTTGAAAATGTTCCGATAATACCCTAAGCTTCAATGTGTGTTAAAATAAAGCTGTTATGTACTAGAAATTAAAAAAAAAATAAATTTGTCCCAACAACCTATTTTGTGCAAATTGCTCCCGTAGTTAAATAATGTGCTATTTTTGTGTTCAATTTTTAATTTTTTTGTTCATTTTAAAATACCTTATAAGGGTTTGTCTAAGTAATGAGTCCACTAATTTTATAAAATTTAGATCTAACTTACATTAAATATAAATTTAAACATATTTTAATTATTTTGTCTCCTAAAAGTTAAAAAAAAAAAGCTGCTTTGAATTTTTGAACTAGTTTAAATTGTCATTTTTAAAGCCTTTGACAATGTTCAACCTATTACTTCTATATTACAATTTAAAAAAGTTGCACAGTGTGAATGTGGCATAGTAGGGACTAGTATAAATGACATCCAACAATGATTAAAATCACGACTATTAAAAACGCTCGATGGAAATCTGTAAATAGTCAATAATTAAAAAAAAAATTGGTAGATAATTCTAGAAGCAATCTGATCTTTCTATTTCCTTAATTATATGCTGATTAATAGTTATTTAATTTATAAGTATAATATATAAATAAAAACTTATTATAGTAATTAAATTTAGTATGAAATTAATATTCAATAATCTAATATTGTAATTTTTACGGAGAAACTATCAAAAATAAGTAGTAGTTGTACATTTCGTTACTTCTAATACAAACGTGTATAAAAATTAAGACTTGATGCAATACTTAAAAAAATTTTTTTTTTCTATAAATAAACTAGTTTACAAAGAATTTTTATCGGAGACTAAAATATACTTTTCTATAAATAATTTTTGTCGATTTTAAATTTGCAATTAGACTTTTTTATCGCCTCCTTTTTTAAAATATGACTAATAAGTAAAAACGAGTATATACATTAAAAAAAATAATTAAAAACGAAAAAAAAATTAATTTTTATTTTATTATTGATTTTGATATTTATTATGCTAAAAATAAACTAATCAAAAAGTTGTTGAACAAATCTATTCCGTTGAGCGTATTATAAAAATTATAAAATTGTAAAAATCCTTTATAAAATAAGGTTAAACAAAAATAAAAAAAAAACCTTCACAAAAATTAACTTTAAAGGATCAAAATAAAGGTTAAAAATGACATTTTGTACGGATTATTTTTAAACATATTACAAATCAAGATTAATAACTATTTGAAAACCATTTTTTTTAATTTTTAATTATTTTTTTATATATAAATATTCCTTTTTTATTAATCAGTAATAAAATCAAAAGAAAATTATATTTTTGATTCTGTTGAAAGTTCCTTGTAAACCAGCGTATTTATTTATATGTAAAAAACATTTTTTTTGAAAAGTATTGCATCTATCCTTTTAAATTTTTATACACGTTAAAAGTAAAGAAATATACAATATCATACTATATTTAATTACTATAATAAGTCTTTATTCAAATATAACACATATAAATCATAAAACTTGTAATCAGGATATAAATATAGAGATAAGAGATCAGGTTGCTTGGGAATGATCTACCAATTTCTTAAAATTAAACACTATCTACAGTACCGTACCTTTAAAATTTAAATACGTAAATTTAACTACGGGAGCAATTTGCACAAAATAGGTCGTTGGGACAAATTTATTTTTTTTTTAATTTCTAGTACATAACAGCTTTATTTTAACACACATTGAAGCTTAGGGTATTATCGGAACATTTTCAAAACTTCAGTTGAAAAAGTTAAATTTTTGTTCAGAAATTGATATTTTGAATTCTCTTCTGTGGGCAGGTTGTATCAGATATTCACCAATCATTTTCTTATTTTTAAATTAATTAAAAATATATAATTCCATTTTAAAAACTTAATCTGATACTAGTTTAATGGAGTGAGAACAATTTTTTTTTTAATTATAGAACCAAGGATACTATTAACTCCTGAAAAAAATTTATTATTATTTTATCATCATGGATTTTTCGTGAAGCATACATTTATCAATCAATCATTGAATACCCGTATGCTTTCGGTAATTTCTAACATATTGAACATTCTAATTTCCTAGTTTTTCATGCCACCGTTGTAATGTAAATGTTTTTTAGCAATATTGAATTGATCTATCTCTTGCGAAATCCTTATTTTTAATCATCGAAAACAATTTATTCTCACGAATTGCAACAGCAATTGTACTATTTCTTATTTTAAATGTACAAACATTTAAACATTTTTTCTGATACCTTTATCCAGGCACGTTTCACATGAAAACAAATTTACTTTGAGCTCGGGTACATGTAAAACATCTGAAAAATAACTGTCGAACCATTTTTTGCCAATTATCACAAATCGTATCTATTTAAAGACATAACCCTTAAAAATTGGAAATTTTTCGTTTGTTCCCAGTAAAAGGTGAAAATCCTCCAAAAAATTACGATTTTTAAAATCGATAAATTTCGACATTTTTTTCTTCTAAAAATTGCAAAAATTATTGAAAAAAGAACAATTTAAAGTAATTTTTTTCATATTGAAACCTTATGCATTTCCCTTTTGAAAATGAAAGTTTCGGGGAAAAAAAGTTAACGACATTGGGATGAGGTTAGTCATTGTGTTCCTCTTTCTTAGGATCGATTCTCATATACTCTCAAAACTTGTTGCACTACATACAAATTGTTTTTTAAAAATAGTAACAGTAAAAAACAATGAACGAGCTAAAATAAAAGCTTTTAATTTAAACTTTTACTTAGGTTATTTTTATAATAGGGCAATTTGAGTAATTTTAAATAACTCTATAAAATACATAAATATAAAATAAATAAATAATTCGATAAAAACTTATATTTTACAATATTTATGAACATTATTTCCTATAAAAATATGAATTAAACATATTTGAAATTTTATTAGTTGTTTTGCTTAAACTAATTAGAGAATACAATTATAATTTCCTTAAAGTTCCTTGAATATCAGATGGTGCTAAATCAAATGGAGTTAATTTTTCTTTATTTAACAAAGTTCTATCTGCATTTTTCTGAAGCAATAATTCAGCTTCTTTAACTCGACCTTCTTCACAAGCTAAATGTCTGAACATTCAAGTTAAAATTTGTAATTCATATATTTAAGCAAATAAGAAAATTATGGTTAAATTTAAGTATGGAAATATTTAATTTGTGCAATTATAGTCTTACCATAATAATATGGCCTAGTTGCTAAAATGTTAGCTCAATAAAAAAAAATTAAATAGTAGTACTAAAAATAATTTAGAGGTTGTGTGACAAAGTTAATAAGTTCCTTTTTTATCTATACTATTAGAACATTTTTGCACTTTTCTTTCCCTCACATGGTATTGCTATTGATGGCATATTTTTAATGCAACTTGCATAGCTCTATGGTGTAAAAAACTGTTGAAAATTTTAATAGTTGCATATTATATGACTGAATTTCTCTTTAACAAAAAAACATTTTTATCTCTTTATATTTTTATGTATATTACACTTTAGATGTACACATTTATAAATTAACAATAGTTTTATACTATTCGATCTAATTATCAATATTGCAGTGTGTTTTTGTTTACGAGTTCATAGTGACTGTATAGAGAACAATATTGCACTAGTATTTCATAATTTTAAAATACAGAATTGTTTATTTCAATATACATGAAAAATTTATGAATATACTTTTATATGTATTTTAAAGTTATAAAAAAATAGTAATAAAGGAGATTTTGCTGTACAACACCTCAAATATATAAACTACGGTTGGCTTGATTGTCAATTGATTGGACAAAATTCGTTCAAATTACCAAAGAAATTTTGACCTGCATAAACTGGTCAAAATAAAAAAATTTAAAATCTACAAAATTATTAAAACAATATAGTCTTTTTGTACATCTAATTGTTCTTTTATGAAAGGTTTTGTTTTACTTTTTTCCCAATGCTGGGTACTAATGGATTAGAGTTGGAAGTCAAGTTAATTAAATTTTTTAACTAACTTGACCAGATAACTTAATAAATTACTGGTTTTATTTTTTAATCAGTAAAGTTGGTGTTTAGTAATTGTGATTAATAGACTATTTAGTAGAGTAAAATGGCATAGTATGGTTTTGTTCTGGGAAGGGGATGTGCACAAGAATATTTTTCACTATTCCCTTCAAACAAATAAAATTGTATTTTCACCATGTAAATAATTTTGTTTTAGAGGAAACTATCATCATCATTCACCTATTTTTAAAATTAAAAGTTTCTTTTTGTTGACATGTCAAAATCTAGTTACTTAATTGTTAAAGATTTTGGCTAGTCAAAAAATCTAACACTAATATAAACCTACAATGGTGTATTTCCATAGTTATCTTTTGCATCAACATGTACACCCGAGTCTAATAATAGTTTTAATATAGCTATATTTCCTTTTGAAGCACATCTATGCAAAGGTGTTGCTCCTCGATTATCAGTTATATCTACATCAACATTTTTGGAAATTAAATATCGTACTATCTATAATATAATCATTTAGATTAGCAAAATTATTATTACTTCAAAACTTAGAGTAAGATAACTTACTTCAGTCCAACCTTTTGAAGCTGCATACTGAAGAGCAGAATGACCTTCTTGGTTTTTAGCATTAATATCAGCACCATAATCAACTAGAGTTTTTACAGTATCAATTCGACCAGCAGATGCAGCTAATATCAATGGTGTAGTTTCCATCTAAAAATTATAACTAATAACACATTTTTTATATTTTAAGACACTAATACAAGAATTTATAAGATTTAAATTATATTCTAAAAAGCTATGTTAAATTTCTTTAATTTTTTTAAAAGTTTTTAACTTTTAAACTATGACAATATAAATCTGAAAATTTTTTTTCTTTTTTCTTACATCATCCTTTGAATTTTCAGATTGCCCATTTTCAAGAAGATATCGCACAAGTCTATCATGTCCTCCTAGTGATGCCCAATGCAAAAGTAAACGATTATTCTGAAATTTTTATATGAAATTGAATTTAAAATATGGAAAAAATGATTTAATGAAAATATATAAGACTACTAAAAAAAAAACAATTTAAATCAGGGATAAAGTGAAAATAGAATAAATAATAGATTACTTATATTTGTAAGAGAATTATTTTACAGTAATTTGAATTTTACTGTATAAATTTAATTACTTTAAATTAAAATGTAATATAATTTTAATAATGTGAAATCATTGTGTTTAAAACAATAGTAAATATGAATAGTAATATAAGAATAGTAATATTTTGTATTAAAATTTAATTATTAAGTATTTAATTATGCTAAAAAATTTTTTAGAATTAAAAGAATAAAAAATATTCTATTAAATATGTTAGGATAAATACCTTAACATATTAGTTATCCATTTCATTGCATTTTAGATTTTAATAATGAGTAATGAGGTAAAATTTTGATTTATCATAAATATTTATTATTATTACTTACTACATCAACTTCTTTTAATAGACATTGATGTTCTTCAATTGATTTTATGACAAGATCAATGTTACCTTTATGAGCGTCTTCAAAGACTTTTTCCTTTAATTTTTCAAAGTCCATCATTGAAAACAAAATATAAATTAATCAATATGATAAATTATGCACACCGTTTTTAATAAAATGTTTTATTTTCTAGAAACAATTAAATTTGATTTTATAGAACAAATACAGTTTCATTAAGTGTCTAATACAAAGACGAATATATTAGTTAATACATAAGTCCAAATGTACAAGCACAAAAACAAGACAAATATATAAGTTCTGTAAGTATAAGATACAAATTTAACTTTCAGTTAAATTTTATTCAGTTAATTTTGTATTTAACCATTATACTTTAATATAATACTTAAACAATACATAACATTACATTGATAATAACTAAAATTGTCAGATCATAGATAAAATAAAACCAGATAGTGCACTTTTTGTATTACTGATATAGCTCATACCTGCCTCAATGCAGTTTCGTCAGATACAAGGTATTAAATTATTTTACAGCATCATTTACTATAATTATTGTATCAAATAATTGATTATGTGTGTATATATGAGAGTCAATGCAAATTAATGAAATTTCAAAAAATATTCAAAATATGAATTGATTTGACGTAATATTTATTGGTAATATTTTTGACCTATCTTCAATCTACTTACATTAGTTTATTTAACTCTATTGCTGAATATATATTTCAATTTTGTCTAATTTGTTACTGAATGCTAAATATGTTTATAACATTTACATTCCAATAAAAAGTATCTCCTGGACAAATATTTTTAAATATTTTACTGCTTGTTTTCATTACTGTAATTTTTATTTCTTTTTAGTGAGAAAAAATAATATATTTAATTAAATATCATTAATATTTGAACGTTAGTTCAAGTATATTTTAATTTAACAATAAATAATTTATGTAAAACTTAATAAAGCTTTGTCTTATCTGTGGTCACGCAGTAAAATCACAGATAATAAAAGATAGTTTTATTTTATCTGTGTTAAAATTAATAGTATGGCACTAACATAAAAAAAATTATAATTATTTGCACAGTATTGTTTTGTACGAGGTAGCTAGTCCGTAGAACGGCTAGTTGTGCACCGCACTAGGATGCCGTTTTACCTTAAGCCTATTTAAATTGCCTAATGGCCGGCATAAACAAAATAGTTAAACTCAATTAAAACAAACAATAAATAACATTAAAAAATAATATAAAACTCAGCTGAACAGATGAAGTTGTTGATAGTAATAAATGAACTGTATGAGATTTTGTGGCATTGGTGTCGAACATCTGAGTATGACGAGTCAGAGTGTAGATCCAAGCACGTAATGGCAGATGAGAACAGACGGCGGAAAAGCGACTACGGCAATGAAGATATTTAGTGATGGTCAGGGCCCCCAATCACTAGTGGCGTGCAAGGGCACGAAAACTTTGAGCACAAGGGTGCAATAAACAAATAAAAGAATAACGGCGTAGAATGGGCGAACAATTTACCATTCAAGCGAAGCCGATTGCTACAGAAGAAAATGACACATAAAACAAAAAAACTTACTGACTTACGACGATGAACTGTAACGTATGATAATTGACTCTGAGGCCATCGATTTGCCGTGCTGGGGGGACAAAAGGGTGAATAAAGCAAGACGCTGGAAATCAGCTGCCACATGATATAATATAACCAACGATGTTTGTAACAACTGGTCTACTAGATCTTTGCTAAAGACGTTCTGTACCAAAAAATTATGGTACACCAAATTTTTTTTTATCAGTAATACCTGTAGGTATTACAGGGCAAAATGATATTTGCAAATAGTATAACAGACACATTTGTAGGGTAAGGTGAGGCCCCATAGACTTCCTCTTCTGAAAATTATTATTATTATTATTATTGTAGTTAAAATTACAAAATAAGCATTTTTATAGAATTTTAGATTTTTTAATCAGTTACCAAGTAAAATACATAAAAATATAAAAATATATATCACATTTTATTTCATTATAAACTTCATTTATAAAATACAAAATAAATTTTAATTTATTAATTTTATTTACCACAAAAAAATAGTAAAGCTAGTCGAAACAAGCATTATGAAAACATTCATTAATATAAGAATAGGAGAAGCTGAACCCAGCCTAAGACAGGGGGACTCTATGTCACCTGTTCTATTTAATCTAGTATTAGAAAAAGTTATAAGGGAAACTAACATCGGACCCCAGGAGGGAGTGTCACTACAAGATTTTTCCATAGTATTATTGGCATATGCAGACGATTTGGTCCTCATGGATAAATCACACGATGGCCTCAGAACACTATTCGGCCGTTTGGAGGAGATAGCGAAAAATGTTGGCTTACAAATAAACAAAGGCAAAACCGAATACATGGTGGTGTGAAGGAGAGATAGTATGAGAATCTATCCTTCATTATGAGTGGGTAACCATGAATTCAATCAAATCAAAGAATTTAAATACTTAGGGTCAGTATTGACCGAAAAAGATGAAACTGAAAAGAAAGTAGCAATAAGAATCCTGTCGAGAGAAATAAAGATACAATTATATATTACCCTATTACGCCCAATAATTACATATGGAGCAGAAACATGGACATTAAGAAAAATGGAACAAAATAAATTGATTATTCTGGAGAGGAAAATCCGAAGAAAAATCTTTGGTCCAGTAAAAGACAAGGACACTGACAGATGAAGAATAAGAAAAAACAAATAATTAGAGAAGCTCTTCCATCGTCTAAACATATTAAATATAATCCAGAGTAAGAGGTTACAGTGGTCATACCTGGCGAAGTCAGAACCCACTACTGTATAAATGGTATTGGCAGAGAACCCAGAAGGGAAATGGCCTCTTGAACGACCCCGTTTAAGATCGAAAGACGTGGTAAAGAGAGACGTAGAATCATTAAATGGAAGCTCAGATTGGAGAACAAAATCAGCCGACAGAGAGACTTGGAGGATTGGTTGATTGATGAGATGGTCCTAGTGGCCGTTAATACCCAAGAAAGAAAAAAGAAAAAGAAGAAATATAATTGAAAATATTAAAAGTATAAGAAAAAAATGTTCACAACCGAATTCATCAATCAGTTCCTTGAGATTCAAAGAATTTGTTTATCTATATAGGATACACCATTCATAACAAATGGTTTATATATATATTGATAATACTAATATAAATAAACTAATATAAAGATACAACAACACATTATTAAAAAAAACCTTTAATATACTTTTTTTAAATTTTTCTCCCTGTGAATACTCAACACTTGAAGAAAAGGATTTAAGAATAAGTAGGAGTAATAAAGAATATATAGAATACGAGTTTAACAAAGGAAACACGAGGTAGGTGAAATGAGGAGTTCAGTGACAATAGGCGAGGACGTGATAGGAAATATGTAAAGTTTTTAGTATTTAAGATCAGTTGTGCAAAAGAGCATTGGTATAGACGAGGATGTAAGACACAGGATTAAATGCTGGTGGTTAAAATAGAGAGAAGCATCTGGTGTGTTATGCGATAAAAGAATTCCAATGAGACTGAAAGGTAAATTCTATAAGATTTACTTTTGATTTTGATGTATGGTTCAGAGTGTTATTTATATCCTGATTTTTTTCCATAATAAAATATATTACATTATCTTTAATTTAATGTATGTATAAAAGTGTCGGAGTATCCGGAACACTTTCAAAATTTAAGTTGAAAAATTTGTCATTTTAAATCCCCACCTGTGAGCTGGTAAAGGGTCAGATTTGTAAAAATATATATCAAATGATAAGTAAAGACATCATGCATCTATAAAAAAAAATTATATTGATCCATAAATTTTTATAGTATAATTTATAGTATAATAAAGTTAAAAATATGAAAATAAATTTTTTTTACAAAAATCTTATTTTTTTATTGACATTGATAACTGTTTTTACCATGAAAACAAAATTAAGTTCGACTTTTTTTTTCTATAATAAAATATATTACATAAGCTTTAATTTAAGATATATATAAAAGTGTCAGTATTTTCGAAACATTTAAAAAAAACCCAGCACAGGGGGGTCGCGGCACAGTGGTGACGTGGCATAGTTGGATCAAGTATAATGATATCTGACAGTGATTAAAATCACTATCAAAAAAAAACGCTTCGATGCAAATCTTTAGATAGTGTTTAATTTTAAAAAATTGGTGGATTATT